AAAAAAACATTTTATTATTAATAAAAAAATGTGATTATATGATGATCAGACATTATTATGTTATATAAATAAATGTGAATGAAATATCTAATAAAACACACTAAAAACACAAATAAAACACACACCAACACTCGCCAAACCTAACCAACAATAAACAATAAACATGAACAAGAATGACATGAAATGATTCATAATTGCAATTGTCAAAATTTATTCTACAAAATCTTTGTGGCGACATCTATAGACTCTTTCCCCAACTTGTATATCCATCTCAAGTCACGTGGTTCCCAGAGTTTCCCCATTTTTTCAAGTATAAGTTCTCGGGCCCTGTCTACAACTTAATAGAATATAAAAATTTAGTGATAATCTGTCAAAATTAACAATATTCAATTCATTTCATTCCCCTAAGTACAGAACGTGTAGTAAACATAACCATGGACCATGGAACAGTGACCTGGTTAAATAGTGATGATACAAAATACTAGGAACGCGTATTTGGTAATGGTATGAGCCTATAATGTAACGTAACAGCTACGAGTTTTCTAAAATACTAGTTCCAGTTCCCACTCACCGTTCCCAGTTACTCCTGGTCCTTTCTCTACCTCTAGCTCTAGACTCGCGCGCGCCATTATTCCATGGCTAGAAGTTGGCCTCAATGATTTGGGATCGAGAGGGATTATCCCTCTTTATCCTGCCTCATCTCGTGTAGGCCTGGACAGCCTTCGTAGGTGGGCCCCATCCGTCGTCTACCCCGACCGCAAATGCGGCCGGTGTAGGCGCTTTGTGGGACCTCCTTTTGTCCCGGCTGGGCCCCGCCGGCTAGGGCCCTTTCTTCTGGAGCTCTTCTTGCTTCGCCGGCTCGTCTGTGTAAACCCCGGGGGTGGTGTCACGTTTATGTGTGGTATGGTTGGGTAGGGAAGGCGAACTGCTCTAGACTGACGCGACGTAACCTTTTATGTATCGTGGACGCGACGCGGTGGACCCCGCCTCAACTCGAGTATTTCGTATTTGGTATTTTTAATACCTACTTGGACTTGGAATTTGGAATACTTGGATAGGCAGGTAGAATTGAGATTGAGTATAGGCAATGTTGCATTTTATTTTTATTGGTAGGTAATAATAATTTGTAGTAACTGAAGACGAGCGGGTTATTAATAAATAATTAAACCTAGATATTCACCACGTTCCCTGGTGTTTGTTAATTTTCTCAACATTCTATAAAAGTAGTATAATATTATTTAGATATAATAAGATATAAGTTCGTAAAGAATCTTAGTACTTAGAACTATACTATAAAATAACCTAATAAGAAATATTCAAGTTTGACGAGTTTCGTCGACAAACGGAGCAGACTCAACAATAAAATACTAGGTAAAAAATAACTAGTATTTGGAACAGGTACGCACACGGAACTGTAACGTAATGTACAAGTGCCTATGACGTTCTTTTATTGTTATAAATGTCGATTAGCCAGGTCAGTTCCGAGCGGGCAGCCGAGCAGAGCAGACGTATTTTGTGAAAGTGTAGTGCAAGGAGCAAACTCTACCTGCCTTTATTAAGGCTACCTGGAAAGAATCCCTTTCTTTCCTCTTAATCACCGATTAAGAGGAAAGCCCCGGCTTAAGCATAGAGGCCGTCGGCATCTTTGTTACAGGTACCTGTGCCGGGGTTATGCCCAGGTAAGTCCCACTTTTACTTATTTATCAGTTATTTGCATTACTTTAGAATACATTTCTTTAAAATTGCGACCCCCGACAAACAATATACCAGACTGACAAATACTCCAAAAGACACGTACGCCCACACGACTAACACGTACACACCCACACACACACACACACACGCGCGCACGCCCACACACACACACACGCACACGCACACACACACACAATACTAACAATGCAATACCAACAAATACTAACCATGGCACAGCAAATCGTTGATTTGCAAAAAACAATTAAACTTTCGGACGAAAACACCACTAAATTACACCAAAAACTCGACAAACTCATCAACAAACAGATGACAGACGATATACCCCAGACAGGCACACACACACACACACACGCACAGAGAAACGCAAATAACACACGGCGGAATCCTCTAGCGAGGACGAAGCCCCCAGACATAAAAAATCAGACAAAACAAACAAAACACGACCACAAACACCAAACACGCGTCCCCCAACACCTAAACCCTCCACAAGCGCCCTGCAAAACACCCCACAAAACACACAACAACAGACAGACAAAACCAAACAAGTCCCCCCGGTAATCTTGCGAAAGCAAGAACGGTGGACGCAAGTACAAAAAATACTCACGACACTTAACATTAACTACACAAAAGCCAAATTGACTAAAGACGGTATAGCCATATACCCAAACACACCTAATGACCACAGACTATTGACAAAGACACTGACAGACAAAGGCGAGGAGTACCACACCTTCACCCTCAGCGAAGAAAAAACGCTGAGGGTGGTGATACGCGGAATACCTGCGGGTGTTTCGCCAAGTGAGGTCCAACTCGACCTCGCAAGACAAGGGTTCCCCGGCGCAATAGTGCACCGCATGGCGAGCCGTCAAAATAAACAGGAAATGCCCCTGGTCCTAGTTCAGGCCCCACAG